TATATATATATATATATATATATTAAACCACAATTTCATATATTATAGTAAGAAAAAATCTCTTAATAAAGAAATTACATAATATATATATATTGTATATGATAATCAATATATCAATTATATTTGAGTAGTATTTTTAGTAATATAAATAACATAAATTTTGAAAATATTTTATATTTTCAAAATAATATAATAATATTAAATACCAAAATATCAAAATAATATATTAAATATCGAAATGGGAGATTAAAGTAGAGATTTTATAGTAACTGTTTAATAATTATAATCACATTTATTATTACGTACATGAAATAACAATTATTTTTATTTTCTGATAATCATTATTAATAATATCTTATAGATAACAAGACCAAATATTATCAAAATTCATTTTGTAAAGTTGGTTTGATTTCTTGAAACTTACACTGTGACAACTTCTTTCTTAACAAATATCATATTTCTTGAAATTTACACTGTGACAACTTTCTTCGTCTTAACAAATATCATATTTTTATTGATTGTTGTGTGAAATTGTTAATTTTTTAATGAAGATTGGGCGTTTATGATAATTAGAAAAAAAATGAAAAATTTATCATGTATGCATTGTTATAAACCATGGAAGTTAATAAATGGAGTTTAAATGATATCAAAAAGTATACCATATAGTTTCTTTTTTTTTTTCTAAATAAATGTAAAGTTTATAAACGGATTATACGTTGAAAAAATTCTCTTATTATTTCCAATATTTGAGATGCGCATAAAAAAATTTGTAAGTACCATCGTCAAATAAAAAATCTCTTTGGTATAATATAATATAATAAAAAAAAAATTACATTATGAATGATATATCTTTTATCCAAAACTCATCAAATCAGTATTGAAGTTGTCTCAGATTTTATATATCCTTCCAAAGATCTGTTTATGCATGTCCTTTTCCTACAAAAGAAATTGGAATAAAATTCTCACAAAGAATATCTACATAGTTTAATAGATGAGATCATTCACTGTATAATAAACGTATAATAAATTTATAATAATAAAACATTACCTCTGCCTAAAGGCGCTTTTCTTACTTCCGACTTTCGAGATTTGATAGATACACCCCTTCCTCCTATATATATGTTTATTATTATTCGCGAGTAATTAATACAATTGAAAAGCTATATTCAATTGTTATATATATATATATATATATATATGAAAATACATATGATTAATTACATCTTTCTTTTTTGTGTATTACAAGATTATAGTATAGAGAGAAAGATAGTAGTAATATTATAACATTGTATAGTGTTGAATATTAACTTACCAATAGGAGGAAAGTTCTCATCGTCTATTGGAAGAAAATCGTCTGTAGCAGTAACGTAAAAGCGTGCTAGAAATAATTATAATACAGTATATGTAACATAAAATATAAACATTTTATAGTATTTTATGCAATAGAAATATTTTATTAATAAAAAATAAACAATTAAAAAAATTTATAAAGTATCAATTATTTATAATTTAAGCAGAATTTTTCAAACTTACGATCAAGATTTGGAGGGCGTAATGGTTTTTCATTTAACTAAAAATATGAAATTAGTAAACATATTTTTTCAATTAATGTAAGATTATATAAGAACACATACATATTTTGGCACATATCTAGTTCCTTCTTCAATAGACGTAGCATTTTTATTAACATTTTGGTTAACAGGTTCATCACTGGCAGACTCTTTGCCACAATCAATAACTTGCACTGGTTTTGATTCATTTCGTCGGCGCATTTCATCTTCATATGTTCTACTAGAAACTTTTAATCTATGTTGTTCACTTACCTATTGCGAGATAATTAATAAAAATCATTAATTGGTACTATTACGTGTTTTATAAAATTATTTAAATAAATATATATATAATGTGCCTGTTCTCACATGCCTAAATCCCTATAATATATTTTTAAATATACTACACTATATTTTTAAAATATTACTTACGCCTGTCATAGATAAAATTCCAATAGCCTCAGATTGGCCACCATCTCTGCCACCAACTTGCAAGCTACTCATTAAATGACACAGATTATGTTTGTTAGGATCAGAATTGTCAAGATCAGGCTTATTAGACTTGTCAGGTAAATGTACTCTTGGTTGCATTTCGATGTCAAGTGGATCACAAAACTCTTCGCACAATGTCCATGCCCATTGATACAGTACAGATTTGCAGCAGTATTCATGGCCTCCATCAACGTATTTATGAAACTAAATATTACAAAATGACATTATAAATATAATACACTATAAAATATCATAAAATAATAAACTACCTACCTCACATTCATATCCTTTTTCAAAGATATATGTAAATTCTTTAAATATTTTTTCAGAATAAATAGAAATATGATGCATATCACGATCACTTCTTTTCTTATACAGTTCATTAGCCAAATGTGTAAACAATGCTTCCATTTCATAAATTTTAAACTGCTCTTTATCTTGTTCTGGAATAGAAACAAATTTACATAAATCGTATGTATCAATACAAAACACATCTAGAAAATTTGTATATGCTGTAAAAAAAGCTATTATTTTCAAGAAAATAATACCTTTCTTTTATTTTTACAAAATTATACTATCTCTTAATTTACTTTTCAATATAATTATCAAAGTATTCTATATTATCTCTTCTTTTCTTAATAAAAAAAAATATTTAATAAAATACAAATTCAACATAAATAAAGCGAAGAAAGATATTGAAAAATAAGCCATTGATGACAGATTCCTCTTTGAACAAGGTTTATAGACACAAATCATGATAAGTGCCTCAATTTATATAACGATATTATGTTAAATGGAGCGAGGAAAGAGAAGAGAGAAAGGAGGAAGGAGAAGAGGAAGAAGAGAAATAGTTATATATATATATATATATATAACTTAGAAAAATAAAATATCTTAAAAATTATTTTCTAAACTTATAATATTACTACTATCTTACTCTCTATACTCTATAATCTTATAATACACAAAAAAGAAAGATATAATTAATCATATGTATTTTCTTATATTATTATTAAATATGGTCTTATTAAAATATTAGATAGATATAAAGGTGCACTTACTTGTTACATCACACAGTTGTGCTATGAAAGACTGTACTGGTTTTGTAAATTCTTTTGTTGTATAAAGATAAGTATATCGGCCTGCAAGTTGCCTAGATTCTAGGAAATTTATCAATTTCTCATATATAACAACAAAATCTTTCTCTCCGCCTTGATATTCCACAGGTATTTTATGATCATTCGCACTCGTCTCCAGTGCTTCCCGTCTATATCCTAATGGAATTGGAGCACTGACAATTGCATGATGTATCTCTTCTATACCATTTTCGAAGGAAAAAATTCCAAATGCATATTCGGCCGGGAAATATTCAAGAGTGTTGTTAACACTGTTAAGCTTACGGAAAAACCAGTTGACGTGAACAAAACAAAATTTCACTTGTGGCAAAACTGCAATAATAAAGAATATAATAGTGTATGTATAGTATATCTTATTTCAATAATTTAAATTTATCAATCAAAATTTATTAATCAAAATTAATATATGTACTTGAATTTTATTGTTGTTCAAATTTGATTTCAAGATTTCCAATCCAAACAGAGAAAATTAATTCAGCTTGTGTTAAACTTTATATACAGATTTATTATACAACTTCATGATTCTATTTAACATACTTCTAATACTTTTTGAATTATGCGTCTTTAAAGCAAAAGTCACCTTCAAATTTAATACAAAAAGTGTCAAATGTGCAGCAAGTTACTTTAAAATTAATTTCTACAATAAATTACATTACATAATATACGTACTCTTAAGATTTAGGGATGAGTCAATTATTACTTTTATATTTTCGTGCATATTTTCTATAAATCTTCTTGCTTCCTCTTCTTTCTGCTCAAGCATCCTTATTGACTCTCCAAATGATGTTTTCTTGTCTTTGCTTGATATTTGTGACGCAATTTTATCATTTTTGGCCTTAGCTCCAAAAAAACCTTTTTCTTGCTTAGTTAAATTCTATTAACCAAAAGGAATATCCATTTTATTACAAAATTAAAGAAAGATATAAACTAATATATAATCCTACAAAATAAAAGTTTTTTCTTATTTTTACTTTTGTTTTGTAATTTTATATAGGCAACATTTTTACTTTTTTCTTGATATAATATATGTAACAATCTCAAAATATTAAGATTTTTATTTTTTAATAAAAATATATAAAATAAACTTTTCCATCAAAATCTTCGATAACAGATTTAAAAAATTATATTTTTCATAAGTTTTAATGATTTCTTAGAGTGCTTAAATAGCATCTAATTCTAACCTATTTTTTCCAATTAAACAATATACATTAGATAATCAGGAGGCGCGGTAACGTCTCTCGGTATATTTTTTCGTTACATCGCATCATAATTATATTTTCATATAGGAAAGAGCAAAAGTTAAATCAGCCCCACCACATTCTTATACATCTATATTTCCCGCCAAATTCTTCGAGCTCTCCGTTCGACTTTTCAAGCAATGCAGAATTAGAATTATTTGGCGTTGGGAGCTAACTTAATGAGTTTAATGACGGTATCAAAAATAAGTGCCTGCTCCTTTATAAACATACCTGCCATTCCGCGTTACAGTCCGGATCCTGTTGAACGTCCTTTAATCCATTAGGGAACTCGTTGCCTTTCGCCTCGGCGCGTTTCTTCCAATCGAGCATGAAGAAGAAGAATGCATTTCTACCTTTGTTCTTCGGCATTTTGTCGGCCGCTGAGAGGCTTCCTTCGCCTTGTGAACGCTCTGAATTGTGAGAGCGATGTAGCAAATTTAACGGGGAGGTAGGTTAGGAGTTCGAACTGATTAGATTATCAGGATTCAACACAATACGCTCGATCACTTAAGTCACTGACTCGACTGCCCTTAGCCTTTAAGCTGCCATGGTGCCTTCCACTTCCTTCTCTTTGTAATGGCGACCACTTCTATAGACCGTAAGCCTGTTCCTTGACGTTATAGATTATGCGGAAGTACACCAGGAGAGGCAGCCACAATTTGACTTACTCTTTTAAGCTGAACTGTACGACACTACGTGTTACAATTCATGCACTTAAATTGAGACAGTCGTGCAATTGTGCCCCGAAAAGAACAAAGAAAAAAGGACGAAACATTCGATGCCAGGCTCAAGTATAACGAAAAGCACAGGTCTACTAATTACAATCTCAAAAAAAAGCCGGTTATTCGTTTGTGACTCGGTCCACTTGTTGCTGCAAATGAAGCGTTTCTTTAATTGGTCAATTAGTAAAATGCTTTCTTCTGATTGGTTAATGAAATGCCCAGAAGGACCGTATTCGTAGCACAAAATCAACAGGCAAGGGCAGGCGAGCCGCGAGAGCAAGCAAGAGCAAGCACCTCCGCGCGCGTCAACAGTGTCGACATCTTCGATTTGATCTCTCGTGGGAGTTGGGAATCGTCACGTGATCACGAGTAAAATTCAGGACCGAAATATACCGAACAGAGCAAATATTGGTCCTGTAATTTATAAACGTGGTATTTTCAAAATGATCAGAAATTCTGCAACAGTTATACAATAAGCAGTGCTTTAAACGTGAGATATTCCCGGGAATATGCAACAACCCCATTGGTTTGCTCTTAGAAACACAATTAATTTATTACAATCAGGGGTCGGTCGTATTTAAAATAATTAACATTATTAATTAAAATATGTATTTTAAATAATAAAAAGTAAATGAGTTATTTAGTATATATATTTATTATTTTAAATAGCTTCTGTTTTATTTTATATTTAATATTTTAAATATGTTTTTGAAATCTATTTTATATTTTTCATTTTAAATAAGTACGTCGTATTAGTTTTTTATTGACCCCTGCCATATTTTATTTCAAATAAGTTTCTGAAATTTTTTTTATATTTGTTATTTTTAATAAGTCGTATCAGTTATATTTTACCGACTCCTGATTACTATAGATAATTATTAAGATCGTCTGCACGTATGTATATATATGTACATTCCTGTCGCGTTGTATATTTTATTGATCCAATCGAAAAGAAAATATACGCAGTTACGTGACCGCGCAGTTTTTCACGAAATGTCCTTATTGATTATATATACTTGTATATACTTGTATACTATTATATATACTTGTGTATAAATCTTTTATGCTCAGAGGTCTGTTTATGCTATGGGCTTTCTTCAAAAGTTTTTCTCATTTCTTTGCTATTCTGACATACAAAATTCGTTTCACTTAATCCCTCATGTTCCACAATTAGTACAAGATGTGGATGCTGTGCGTATTGATATATTGGAAGAAAAAGAAAGACGTCTTTTAATTAATTATCACATATATATTAGCGAAAACGCGAAAGAGATCAGATTTTAGCCTCGAATGCTCTCGACACAAGAACAAATTCTACATATTTTTATTTTAAAATATGTTCGAATATCTAAAAAAAAAAATATTTTAAAGATAGCAAAAGAACTTTTTCATAAGAAATTGCCTTACGAGTACCATAACGAAATTTATAATAATGAATAAGATATAATTTGAAATGAAAATATTTTATTTTGAAAAAACGTTATAAAGCTATAAAGAATAAAAATGTCTCAAAAATAATTTTCTTGTAATATTACGAGCTATTACAAAATAAGTTTGTCCACATTAAATGTAGATTTCTAATTGGAACTTCATTGGACACATCTTAATATTATAAAGATTATTTAAGACTGATGAGCATCGCTGGCACGACGTCACCCTCATCCAACGTTTGCTTCTCCTCTGTTCGCCCCGGTAGCATTAGGAGCGCGTTACATTTGCAGCTGAGCAATCTGCTGCTGATTTGATCTCCCGTGCCGTAAGCCTGTGGGTACGCCTTTTTGTCATTCCACTTCAAGATCGCTCTTGCGTATTCGGGACGTGGATCCAAATTATACCTCGACGTTAACTGTAACGTTAAAAACAAACGTTTGCATGTGTATTCGTGCGTGTTGCTGCTTCAATGCAAAACGTCGAGATGATCTCACGTACCTCAGCTTGCACTACGACTGGCTCCGTGAGGTCGCCGCGCATGTTGTTCAGAAGGGGTAAGAGGAACAAACGTGCAGTAACGACAGCAGACACCGGATTTCCCGGCAGGCACAGGAAATATTTCTTTCTATCCAAGAATGTGCACGTTGCAAACGTCGTTGGCTTTCCCGGCTTCATATTTACACGTCCTGAAACGATTGTATTTTAGTGTTTTCGTATGAGAAATGTGTATTTTAACATATTAATATAAAGATGGTTGAAAAAAAGACGGTATATATACCGAAATGTATATTAGCGTCGAAATGAATCCCTAAAATAGGCTTCAACAGATCTCTATCGCCCATTGACACGGAGCCCGTTGTCACAAGTACATCCACTTTTTTTAAAGCCTTCTCAATTACGTTTACCATTTCTTTCGCGCTATAAAATGATCGTATTAACGTCAAATTGAGAGTGTCAGTTATTTGGAATCACTATATCAATAAGTAGAAAGTACTGCGTGTAACATGCGGTACAATGTATGGGAATGATAAGTCTCTCGACACGTACTTATCCTTCACAATTCCGAAATCCAAAGGATTGAAGCCGTTCTCTTTCAACAGCGAGATTAAAGTTACTCTGTTGCTGTCGTAGATCCGCCCTGGTTTCAAGGGTTCCCCAACTTCCTGCAACTCGTCCCCAGTAGACAGTACACCTATACGTGGCAGTTCGGTAACTGTAATGTATTTGCAGCCGCTTGCCATTAGGAGACCCATTTCCGTCGGTCCAATAATCGTGGACGCACTCAACACTAAGCTTCCCTTTTTTATATCGCAACCGACGGGTCTTTGATAATACAAACAAATAAATCAAATAAATTTCTCTTTCGAGAACACAAAATAAAATCTGTTTTCAAAAGCTATTGACCCACGTACCTAATGTCCTGTCCCTCTTTCGGTTCAGTCAGTATCTCAATTTCTTTTTCCTCTGTCTCATCGGCGCTCTTCGACACTAGCTTCGTATCCTCGACTTGTACAACCGCTGTTGCTTCTGCAATCAGGTAAAAAAGAAAGTAGTGAACACTTTTATCTTTTCAGGGTTGCCACAAAAAAATGAATTTGGAAATTCCTCGACTTTTCCATGATTTCCAGACAACAGTGGAAAATTTTCCATCAATATCAAATATATAATTCTAAATTTTAACGTTTAAAAGATACATATTACAAAAAAGGTAACTTATGTTATTAGAAACATAAATTTAGAAATTTAATAACATAATATAATCCCAAATGCAAATTCAGACCAACAAATTATTAACATCGCTTTGTTGCTTTGACATTGATGTAATGCATTAGAAAAAAATTCCTTTGGTATAAATGAATTTTCCGTTGCTTGGGGACACAACAAAAACTCAGTGGTAAAAATAAAAAGATTCCTATAGATATTTCTTTAATATCGCTAAATATTCAGAATATTTTCGATTGCGATGACGGAGAGAAGTCTCGAGCAAAATCGTAATTTTCGAAAATTTTTTAAATTTTCATACAAAATCATTTCATTCTGTTATTGTCTATTGTTTAATTCTGAAAAAGAATTTTCAAATAAAAAATTAGCAATACATACAAAAACATTGTACAAAAATTGAGTTTCGTCGATAAAACAAATGACCATCTTAAGGAAATTGTGAGCAAAGTTCAAAATTCCAAACTCTTTTATATCTTTCCCTGACTTTTCCAGGTTTTCCCAGTTTTCCAGGATCTGTGGCAACCCTGAGTCTTTTATATAAATTAAGGTGCAATTAAAACTGTTTACCGTCAGGAACGGGCGCGCCAGTGTTCACGCGTACACATGTGCCAGGTTTAAGAGACAGACGATCGGGCTGAAAGTTTTCATTTATTATTATTATTATTTATCATCTTCTCTCGCGTCGCATTGTATTGCTGTCTGTTATTACGACTCACTGCAGTCCCCGCTTTCACGCCACACAACACCGTCCTTTTGCCTTTTCCATCGCTCGCCAATACTGCATATCCGTCTTTTATGGAAGCTCTGAACGGCGGCAGATCGCAATTTGAATGTATGTCCCAATGTAATATCCTACCGCAGGCATCTTTTACAGCCACACTTACAATCTCACGCTTGTTTTCGCTTACAGTCGCGCGTATTATCTTCACCGCTTCCTTCACGGAAATCATAGGAAATGGGGATTCTCTATCGCGTGTTGTCACATTCCCCAAACTTATCTGAAATAATCTCATTGTATTGCACAATTTCGTGTAAAAGCGTTAGGTGTTATTCCCGATAAGAGAAATGTGTCTCACTGAGTTTGTACAAGAAGCATAATGCGAACAGGATGCAACGTCGCTTTGCACAATGTTATGCGTATCTTTTACTTTTTCTTCATTATTCAAGATCACATCTACGGCATGTGGAATAACAGCTATGAGTGCAGTCAGGCACTCTGTTGCAGCCTTGCGTGAACCAGGCAAATTAATAATCAGGGTCTTATTTCGTATTCCGCACACAGCTCTGAAAACATATTAAAAGTTGTAACTTTTAAGAGATTAGGAGAAGTAAAATGACTTTACCGAGAAAGCGCCGCCATTGGAGTTGTTCTTAGGCTCGATAAAAGCATCGCTACAGACAGTCCAGGAGCTTCTTTATGGATAACATTTTGGGTCGCCTCAGGTGTTACATCTCTCTCGGAAAATCCAGTGCCGCCGGTGGTTAGAATTACATCAGCTTTATTATTATCACTCCAATCAATTAGATATTCCTATATGCCATATAAATAAATAAATATGTGAGTGAGTGAGCAAGTAAATGTGTGTGTGTGTGTGTGTAACACACAAAATTATGAAAAATATTGTTAAAATATCTATAGCTACCATTATTGACTTTTTGTCATCCTTCACAATAGCAGTGCAAGGAATTTCAGGGACTCCTTCAAATTTGTATATACTTGTCTTACGGATAAGTTCTTGTAATGCAGGCCCACTCTCATCTATTTTCTTACCACTGGCACAAGTGTCACTTACTAAAAAAATTATAATAAAATCATTTGAATTTAAGAAATGTAATATACAAAATAGATTTATGTTAAATACTTCTTTACAAAGGCAAATTATAATAAGGCTAATATTGTACAAGACTATTAACGGGTCTCACCATCCCAGAGGCCTTAAAATATATGATATCTAAGTTTGGGATTTTTTGTGGATAAATAGATAACTTTATTTAAAAGCTGTTTAGAGGATATTGCTGCACATATATAAGAAACTAAAAAATATTTTTTTATGTACAAAATGGCGATGCAATGGCCTACTTAAGGAATCCCTTTTTTCTGTTTTTTCAAATCGGTCTACAGGATTCCAGGCACACGATTTGATCTTGAACAAAGAATTTTCATTATCTACATATTTTAAGACTAGAGAAGTACACAGGTATTTTTCAAAATAGTTTTTTCTCAAAATGGCAGCTATTTTTACGAAAAGTTCGTATATTTTTGTCAATACAAGTCTTTCATAAAATAGCTGCTATTTTGAGAAAAATCAATATTTTGAAAAATCCCTACATACTTCTCTAGTCTTTAATATGTAGATAATGAAAATTCTTTGTTTTGTTCAAGGCCAAATCGTGTGCCTGGAATCCTTTACACCAATAGAAAAAAAGGGATTCCGCAAGTGTAGGCCAGTATGCCCTTTTAGACATAAGAAAAATAAAAAATATTTTTTTAATTTCTTATATATGTATAATGTCCTCCAAGCAGATTATAAATAAAGTTATCCATTTATCCACAAAAAAATCCCAAACTTAAGATATCATTTTAAAACCTCAGGGGTAGTGAGACCCCTCAATCAATCAAATTATGGAAACATAATATGTAACAATGTTATATAATCATATTTAATTTTCAAACGTGTGTATGACTAAAACATTTTCTAATCTTTTAGTATCAGTTACATACTTTGATATATTCTATATAGTATTCTATATATATATGTATATATATATAGGTATATATTATATACACATATATAAAGCATATTACCGGTTAAAACTGCAAATCTTATTGGTGCCATTGTAGTCTTCTTCAGTAACCTTTTTAGACTTAAATAATTTGTGACTACACGATTTCTTATCTAACGATTAAACCAACGATTATGTGAAGCATGTACACTCTATTTACGATACAGAACTGGAAAGAGGCAAAAGAACACTGAAAAACGCCAGCAACCAGCACTGCCAATAGCTAGCAACAGGTAAACCATTACTTGCCACTATTAGTACTGTCAGCTGTTTTCCGAGTGATACTGTTATCCTGTGATTATTGATTCTGTTCCTTGTAGCTACACTACATTACTTTCTACACTTAAAATGAAATAGATATATGATTACATGTTAGAAAGAAGAAGAGAGAAGATCGACAGTGTTGAGAAGTTTAGCTCACACTCACAACACTCCCAAGGACATCCCTTCCAGTGCTAACCAAAAGTTTATTTTGTGTACGAATCGCTTGTTTGCCATCTGATTGGAAAATATCAGAGTTGGGTAAGTTAATATATTTTTTTTAACTAAGTTAAGTATTAAAGTTAACAGTCTAAAAATTTAACTTAGTTAAGATATAAGTTAGTCCACAATAAAATTAATTGAGTTAAAAGTTATGTTAATAAAAAAAAAGCAATTGAAAAGTTAAAGTTAAATTTTTTCATTTTATAATTTCAGGGTTTTTAAATAAAGTTTCTAAATAAAGTATATATTTGTTATACTTATTTATGTTGAGCCGCGGAAAGGAATCGACCGATTTCGAAGGACTTCTTTCAACATGATTTAACACATTTGCACAGGTCTGCGAACTGCGATTCCTTCCCGCGGTCAGACTATATTTATTATATTATTATAATTGCCTTGATGTTTTCAAATTTAAGTTTGAAAACACTAACTTAGACATGTATTTTATTTTGGGTTTACAAAAAATACTAAAAACGTAACTTTAAGAAAGTTAGATCAAAGTTAATAATTACCAATAAAATGTAACTAAATTAAGTTAAAAGTTAAGAGCCTAAAATGTAACTAAGTTAAGTTAAAATTGTTTAACTTTTTAACTTAACTTTTATCTTTTTAACTAGCCACTACCCAATCCTGGAAAATATTTACAAAGGAACATATTCAACAATTGAAGAACAAGGGCAACAGATGTATTGTCTTTCTTGCACTCTAGTAAATGAGAATATCGATTTATCGAGATTTTAATTTAAAATTAATTGCAGGACTTTGATATTCAAACATGTTCGAACAATCGATATTAGGTTCATTTTATTTTTATTATTTTCTAGATTCAAATTTTTCGTTCTCTCTAACGTCCAAATATTAACATCTATCTGATCTACCTTGTTTTATTTCATCGATGTCTGTATATGCGACATACGTTCTTGTTCTCATATATATAATTCAGATGAGGGATTTAATAAAATAATTTGTTTATATTATATAAAGATGCAATTATGTCGTACTCTCTTGATCTTTTATCTTTGATAATCGCTGATATAAGAGGTATAGAAAGTAGTCAGCGTTTTCCCCTGCTGTGAAATAAACATCTTTATTACTGAAGAATTATTTAACAATAAGAGATACATAGCAAAGAGTGCACTCAAACTAAAATATAACAGTATTGTGTTTTCATCCTTGCTCTTCGGTTACGAAATAAAAATTGTAAACATGATCCTCGCGATAATATTAACTATTTTTACGCAATTCTTCTAATTCTTACATATCGCATCGCGGATTCGATCGATACGAGCACAGAAGTAATGTACAAATACTTCCATTTGTTTGATAATATTGTAAAGCAGATTAAGTCGCGCTGTATATAATTCAAGACGCATTTGAAAATAATCTTGCAGCACGTCCGTATATATACCTTTCCCTCGTTATGCGATTCTTTCGGACATTAACAGCGATTTAAGGAATGCAATTCGAGCGAGAAATTTTCAAAACATCGGTTTCAAATCATTCGGATGGAAGATTAAGCGTGTGTCCTGAAGTCAATAGTCGACTAGGCCTCTGGAATATAACGAATGGCATGGTTTTTTTTTTTTAGCAGTATATACAAATTTTATATACGTCGTCTTATATTTATAGTTGCACCGAATCAGCAATGATCTGTGCTTAATCGATCCCC